TGGGTTAGTGTTATTTTCAAATGAATTGATAAATATTTTTTAAAATTTATTAGTTTTAATTTCTAATACAGTCTATCGATAGATATAACCCACATAACCACATATAGATATAACTCATATTTGGGATCCTTATCAATTTTTAAGAGTGTAAAGGGGTTTTGAGACCAAAAAGTTAGAGAACTGTTGCTATAGACCTAATAATTCCTAATGAATATGGACCAAAAAATTTTAATTAGATTTTTTTTAATTAGTAAGAATTTATTTTCTTTTCCTCCTACTTTCCCACTGGTGGAGGAAAAAAGAAAAGAAAAACAAAACCTGTGTAACAAATATGTGTAGTCAAAACAAATTCCATGTCCAGAAATGTGTTTCATTCTTGATGTTAAGTTTATCACTTCTGTGTCAGGAGGTGAGTAGGCAAACTGAGTTTATAGTAAATATACTGAAAGCTGTTCATTGGAACAGAAGGAGTATTGAGTCCTTGAATACCAGCATTACTGTGATACATACCCATTCCTTCATTCAATGATTACTTGCATTGACCAACACTGAACAGGAAACATGTAGAATTGGGATTGGTATGGTAAAACTGCCAAGCTTAGATATTAGCAGATAGATTAGATATGAGAACTATTGCCAACAAATTTAGTGCAACCAGATGAGTTGCAGGCTAAAGTTGGATTGTTTCAGGATTATGATGAATCTATTCCAAAAGGAAGCAGTATTAACAGGTAGAGAGAGACTTAACGCTGTCTGAAGTAATTGAATTGATCTTCCACATCCTATGTCTTTTACAAATCTATTCCATGCTTTGCAGTCTCACCTGTGATGAGTTGGTTCATGTGGAAGAGTGTTTTTTTTTTTTAAAATAATTGGGGTTAAGTGACTTGCCCAGGGTCATACAGCTAGCAAGTATCTGAAGCTGAATTTGAACTCGGGTCCTCCTGAGTCCAGGGCCAGTGCTCTAGTCACTAGCAGCTTCTGAAGTAAACACATTTTTAAAAATGTACAGCATACCAATAGTACTTTCATTAAATGCTTTTCAGTTAATGGAGATTATTTCACAAGAAGTTGGCTCCCAGTTGAAGTCATTGTGGAAATGTAATATAGTCATGATTTTGATCATTGAGTAAGAATTGACTTCCTCAGTTAATTGTAATGATGTGAATGAACAATTTAGCTCCGTAATACCTGGTGAGCTGTGTCTTATTCTATAGGACAAGAAGAGAAACTTCATCTAGTTGGGTCCTTTTGGGTTAGCTTAATATCCAGTTAAAGAGAAAGATCATAAAAATTGTATGACCTTGGTTAGCACTAGGGTAAAAAAATGACATTTTGCATCTCAGTTTTAAAGTTTGTATTTTTGAAGTAAATTTTTTTTAATTTTTAAAATTGAGTGAGAATCCCTATCATATGGGTTAAGACTCAACCCTTTGTGGAAAGGGTACTGAATTTGGAATCAGGACCTGATTTCAAATCCTGCCTGTTACTCCTTGTATGATCATGAGTACTTCCTGGCCTCAGTTTCCTCATTTGTTGAAAATGAATAATTTAGACTAATTATTTTTATTTAATTTGTTTTTATTCTGAACTTAGCAAATACCAAATTAGGGGATTGTATGTGAAACTGTAGGTCTCTATCATAATACAATTTGCTTTTCCTTTTTTCCTTTCATTTTATTTTTTGGTTAGGCAATCAGGGTTAAGTGACTTGCCCAGGGTCACATAGCTAATGTCAAGTGTCTGAGGCAGGATTTCAACTCAAGTTCTCCTGACTCCAAGGCCAGAGCTCTATCCATTGTGCCACCTAGCTGCCCTGATTGCTTTTCTTTTTTAAAGTATATACCTCCAATTTTTTTTTCCCCTAAAGTGAAGTTATATGACCATGTCATTCCAGCTCTTAAATTTTTTGTTGCCTTTAGGATCAAAGTACAAGTACCTCTGTTTTCGCTTTTAAGCTCCTTCACAACCTGGCCCCAGTCTGCCCTTTCAACTTTGTGTATGTGTATATGTGTGTGTGTGTATTTATGTATGTGTGTATAGATGTATATGTGTGTGTGTGTATCTATATATATATATATATATATATATATATGTATATGTATAAACTGCCCTTCTTGTACCCTGTAGTACAGTTAGACTGGCCACCTTGTTCTTCACATATCTTCCATTTCCATACCTGAAATGTACTCTCTGCTCACTTCTACCTTTTTACCTATTAGAATCCTTTATTTCCTTCTAAATTCAGTTCATCTGCCACCTTTTCTGCAGGAATATAGCCTTTCTTGATCCCCTAGGTGCTAATGCCTTCCCTTACACAAATTACCTTGTATTCGTTTTGTATGAACTTAGGTATGTATGTTCTCCTACCCACCTCCAGTAGAGTGTAATCTCCTTACGGCTGAACAAGTTGTGGTATATGAATGTGCTATAAGAAACGATGAGCAGGCAGACTTCAGAAAAACCTAGAATGATTTACATGAACTGATGCTGAGGGAAGTGAGCAGAACCAGGAGAATATTGTATACAGTAACAGCCACATTGTGTGATGTCTAACTTTCATAGAGACTCATCTCTTCTGAGCAATGCAAGGATCCAAGACAACTCCAAAGGATTCATTATGGAAAATTCTGTCCACAACCAAAAAAAAGAACTATAGAATCTGAATACAGATCAAAGCATATTATTTCCTCTCCTTTTTTCTTTTTCTTTTTTTGTTTTTTTCTTTCTTGTGGTATCTCCCATTGGTTCTAATTCTTCTTTACAATGTGACTAATGTGAGAATAGGTTCAATATGAATATGTATGTAGCACCTGTATCGAATTGCATATGCCGTTTTGGTTTGGGGGTGGGAAGAGATGGGGAGAAAATTCGGAACTCAAAATCTTATGAAAGTGAATGCTAAAAACTAAAAATAAATAATTTTTTGAAAAAGAATATAATCTCCTTGAGGGGCACGGCCTGTTTTCTCCTTGTATTTATTTTCCCACTACCTAGCAGAGTACCTACTTTTGATTGATTGATAATCATATAGGATGATGATGATGTCAAACTCAGAAATGGGGGCCACTGAAGCATAAATCAGAATCCTTGTGGATCACTTAGAAAACACATTCATATTTATCTATGTTTTATTGTACATTTTTATTTACTTTGTTAAGTATTTCCCAGTTACTTTTTAATCTGGCTTGGGCTACACTCAGGAATGTTGTGGGCTGCTTGTTTGACACCTCTGAAGTAGTGTCTTCTGCCTATCCTAGGAACATAATTGCTAATAGCTGTCATTCCTGTAGTGTTTTAAGGCTTGCAGATCAATTTTCCAAATACCTCATTTAGCCATTTCAACTACCTTGGCAGGCAGGTGCTGTTATCCTCATTTTATAGATGAGGAAACTGAGGCAGATAAAAGTTAAGTCACTTGCTCAGGGTCATACTGAGGCCAGATTTGAGATCTGGTCCTCCTGATTCCAGGTCCAGTGCTATATTCATTGTGCTATGGAACTACTTCTGAATATAGAGAATTTACTCTTTTTTCTTCTTCGTTGTGGAGTGGGTAGAGTGCAGACTTGAATCAGGAAAACCCAAGGTCACATCCTGCCTCAGGTACTTACTAGTCATGTGACACAATAGCAGCTCCTGTCTTGAAGTGCTATGAGGGTCCTTTTTGGGTTTCTAATTAAAAATACATTTATTATCTCTTTCCCACCTGTTTACTTAGTACTTTTTAATATGGTCATGGGCTAACCTGGTTTCTCCTTTATATTCACCTTCCATATCAGTGAATATGAAAAAACTAAATCCATTATTTTATTCCTTCTTTTATGATAATGAGCATATCTATGTGGTGGTGATCTCTGGTTTTCCCGTCGTCATTACCACCAAATGACATCTCCTATTTATACGTAATAACAGTTTCCCCAACTAAACTGCCTTCAGCATTTAGTTTGAGAAAGCAGTTATAATTACATCAGATTGAGTATGCCTGAACAAACATCAGATATCCCATGCTTATTTTAACATCTCTTTGACACACTCATCAAAAGCTATTCATGGCAAATCCTCAAGTCCAAGGCAGGACATGAGGGTTTAAGAGTTAGTTGATACCCCTCTCAGCATCCACTGACGGGAGAACTGGTCAAGAGGCTTGAGGAAGAATGGAAACCAAGGCAGGAAGAAAACAGGGCAGCCAGCAATAGAACTAGAATAGAAAGTCAGCAGTTTAATCAAGGTGTAGTAAAAAAAAAAAAAAAAAATCAGTGTCAAGGATTTTCTGTCTAGAACTTTCTCTTGGAAAGGTTCCATGTGTCTCCCATAACTCCCTTTGTTTAATCTTCAAAGAGACAACTCATGAGGAAAGGACAATTTATTTGTTCTTAGTTTTCAATAATCACTTCTATAAGCTTTTGAGTTTTAAATTTTCTCTGCCATTCCTCCCTTCCTATGTGCAATCTGATATAGGCTTTATATGTACATTCCTATTAAAAACATTTTCATATTAGTCATGTTGTAAAGAAGAATTAAAATCAATAGGAGGAACCACAAGAAAGAAGAAATAAAACAAAAAGGAAAAAAAAAACAAATAAAAGAGCAAATAGTATGCTTTGATCTGCATTCAGACTCCATAGTTCTTTCTTTGGATGTGGATAGCATTTTCCATCATGAGACCTTTGGAGATGTCTTAGATCCTTGCATTGCTGAGAAGAGCTAAGTCTAAGTCATCTCACAACGTGGCTATTACTGTGTACGATATTTTCCTGGTTCTGCTCACTTCACTCAGCATCAGTCCATACAAGTTGGAAAGGACAATTTAGAACAAATATTATGGATACTTGATGAAAAGCAACTGAAAAAAAAGATCAGGCCCAGTTGCAGAGCACCTTTTCTCTTCCATGATTTCGCTCATTAGTTATTTAAATATGTAAAACTTTTCCTTAATTGAATAATTGTAAATGCTGTTTTTATTTTAAAATGACTAACTTTTTTGTCTTTTTATGACTTAGGTTGGCATTCGAGGCACTGATATAGTTGTGTTGGGAGTAGAAAAAAAATCCGTTGCTAAGCTTCAAGATGAAAGAACCGTAAAGAAGATCTGTGCCCTTGATGACCATGTCTGCATGGCTTTTGCAGGTATTTATGGGCCAAGCTTGAATAAACGTACAATAGTATAGCTTACTCAAAGAATTTGCGGTAGCAAAGCCACTGTTGTGGAATTGGATTTAATGACCATACCTACATGACTCCATTATCTGGACAGGGGCTGCATGGACATATTATTTCGGATAATTCAAACTCCTCATTTGAACTCATTGGTCTTTTCAGGTATTTCTGGGCCAAGATTAGGGATACAAGAGAACAGTTGCTCAATAGAATTTGCAATAGCAAAGTCGCTATTGTAAAATTGGATTTAGTTTCATACGTGGAAAATTTACCCCATCATCATGGTTGAATAATAATAATAATGATGGCTAATTTTATTTTATCTTCACAACAATCATAGGAGGTAGGTTGAATGATACAAGGGATAGTGTGGTATAGTGAAAAGAATGCCTTGGAGTCGGAACACCTGGATTTGAGTCCCACTGCTACGACTTAATACTGTGAGATAATAAGGCAACTCAAGTAACTTCTTGACCCTCAGTTTCCTTGTCTATAAAATGGGGACAATCACCCTTGCCCAACCTATCCTCACAGGGTGCTTGTTGGGATCAGATCAGATGATAGATAGAAACGCTCTTTGTAATCTGTTATACAAGCGTGAGGCATTTTTAGTATGCATACAGTATATGTGATATCTGGGTTGATTTTCCTGTTGTACAGCAAGGTTTCTTCTTAACCTTTTTGTGTCGTGGATCTTTGTTGAAACCTATAGGTCTTTTTTCAGAATTTTGTTGTTGTTCAATTTTATCTGACTGTTTGTGACCCCATGGACCATACTGCCCATGGGGATTTCTTGGCAACGATACTGGAGTGATTTGCCATTTCCTTCTCCAGGGGATTTAGGAAAACAGGTTAAGTGAGTTGCCCAAGGTCACACAACTATTAAGTGTTCCAGTCCAGATTTGAACCCAGGTCTTCCTGACTTCAGGCCCAAAGTTCTATTTACTGAGTACTCTCCTCAGAATATTGTTTGTATATACAGAAAATTTCAGAACAAAACATAGTATTACAAAAAGAAATCGATTATATTGAAATGCAGTTATCAAAAATATTCAAGTTCACAGACCCAAAGATAAGAACTCTTGCTTTACAGGAAAGATCAGGAAATCTATGATGGTCCACCTGTGGAAATGAGAGGAAAATACAGACAAATTTTGGTAATTTGTAAAAATATAGAATAACTTCAGAATTTACAAAATTGGTTACAAAATTCATTCATCATAAGCTGAATGTACCATATTCAGAGTCCTGTGCTGGGTGCTGGGAGAAAAACAAATTTTAGACAAGACAGTTCCTGCCTTTGAGAAGCTTGCAGTCTAGAAGGAAAAATTGATCTCTCTGGTTCTAAAAATAGATCCTTTAAAAACAGATAAACTCTAACAAGTTAACATTTTATTTGAAGATGAAATCTGCCCTGAAGCCATCATTCTCTCACTCTAATAAATCAATAGCTAACATTTATATAGTGCTTACTATGTGCCACATACTGTGCTCAGCACTTTACAACTATTATTATCCACATTGCACAGATGAGGAAACTGAGGCAAACAGGTTAAGTGACTTGCCCAAGGTCACCCAGCTCATAAGTGTCTGAGGCGAGTTTTGAGTTTAGGAACTCTAGTCATATTCTCTATCTACTCTGCCACATAGCTGCCCCCCCAAAAAATACTAAAAATCCCTGGTTCCCTCTTCTCTACTGTCAGTTAAAATACAAGCTTATTTCCTAGTATTTAAGGTTCTATTAATAACCTGTTTCCAAAATAACTTTTCTAGCCTTATCGCACTGTTGTTCTCCTTCACATAACTCTAAAATTCTGGACCAGATGGACTGCTATCTGTTGGCCAAATTTTAACGTGACATCTCCTGCCTTTGTGTATTTGACCAGACCTCCTATACTTGTAATTTATGTTCTTTGAGAATCCTTATCTCCCTTCATGACTCAGTTCAGGTGCTATCTCTCCTTTGCTCACATTGCATCCTAACCTGTGTAATACTTTGTGTGCATGTCATATCCCCCCCACTAGTGCTAAGTTCCTTGAGGAGAAGGATTCTGTCATTTTTTATTTTTATTATCCCTAGGACCTCTCATAGTACCTTGTACATAGGATGTACTTAATAAAGACTTGTTGAAGATTTTTTAATTAAAAGTTTAGGTTTGTTTTGGTAAATTTTTTGGTTTTTTTTTGTTTTCCTCACTCAAAATATGTAATATACTGAAAATGTTTCTTTTTTCTTAAACATATTGCTCAAAAATATGTATATATTCTCCCTTGCTCCATACATAAAATTCTATCTGCCAAGTCAAAAATAGGCAGATGGAACTTTTTTTAAAATTTTCCAGTCATTTTTTAAATCAAATTGAGGTCTTAATATAGTGAGAGGCTAAAAATAATGTATTTTTTTCCTCAGTGACTGAATCAGTCACTCTTAACAGTAGACAGCTATAGACATTAATTCTGAGGTCTTTTGCATTCCTGATACAATTCCATAAATGATGTTTATGTGACCAGGAAAAATACATAGATGATAAATCATAGCATGCTAAGAATTGCAAGGGATCTTGTCCAATGCTCTCATTTTACAGATGAAGAGAATGAGGACTGGAGAGATTAAGGGACTTATCCAAAGTTAAAATATAAATATTACTCCATAGGCATATTTAGGTTAACCTGGGTACTATCTGATTTTTTTAATCAAACTGTGTGGTTTTCAAAATTGAAGTTACTCAGATTTTACATTTTTTAATTCAGCTGCTTTTTAATGAGTTTTTATTAAATTCTTTATTTTTTTTGTTTTGTCATTGAAGCCAAAGCATTTGTTTGTGTAAAAGTAATATCAGAAGCACAGTGGAGCTAATTCTTTGGTAAAATGCTATGATTAACTCCTTTAAATAATCACGTACTACTTTTGTTTAATTATGAGGCTGCAGAAGAACATACAGAAAACATTAGGTAGTAATTTCAAGTCCCTGGGTGAATATAGCATTAGAAATCAGTGTTTAGAGTTTTCCAAAAAGAGTAAACACAGGAAAAGAATACACAGTCCAGCAAGTAAGTGTTCGAGTAAGTTCTCATATCAGCGTGCCTCCTTGTGAGTCAGTAGTATGACAAAGCTGCTCGCTCCCCCATCTTCCCCACACAAATGTGATCTTGGTCTTTACTCATTGGTATGTGATATCCTGAACAAATTCTGTCCTCTTCAGCCCACATCTGGAGCAGGAGCTGTGTCATGTGAAAGAGAGAGACAGTCAAAGGAGATGTGGGGATGTTGAGAAAACTTAGGGAGGACATGGTACCTATCTTCAGATATTCTATGTTGAGAAACAATTAGATGGAGCCCTTGTGAGTTGGGAGGGTAGAACTTGGGACTAAGGCCATTGGGTGGGAGCAGCAGAGTGAGACCAAGGAGTTCCCAAAATATTAGTGCTGTCTAAAAGTAGACTAAGATCTATACAAATACTAAAGATTTACAAATATGAAGATGTTTATAAAAACATATGTGCATTCTTGGAATCCTGGGAGGTAGGTGCTATTATTATCCCCATTTTACAGTTAAGGAAATTGAGGCAGACAGAAGTTAAATGCCTTGCCCAGGATCACACAGCTAGTAAGTGTCTGAAGTTGGGCTTGAACTTGGATCTTTCTAACACCAGGCCCATTGCTGTATCTACTGTGCCACCTAGCCACCAAAGTTTGGAGATCAGAGGGTGTTCCTCCATATGGTAGGGGCTTGGGCCAGGTGACTCTGAGATTGTAACTTTTAAGATTGCATGATTTTTTAAGTCTTGAAGCACATTAAAAAGTGGTTCTACTAATAAGAGGCATAAATGACATAGAAATACTGGTATGTGAGCTGACATAGACTTAACCTAGCTTTATGGGGTTTTATTCTTCTGCCCAACCTCCCTGCCCTCGCTGACTTATGTTGTTTGATGACCCTATACTACTCATCATTTTCTATCATCCTCTGTAATATTTTGCAAATGAGCTTACTCTCCAAACCAATCTTGTCCTAGGCCACCATGTTTATGCTCTTGGCAACTACATGTTGAAGTGGTTTCTGGAACAGAAAACAGGTTATTTTGGCCGTTTTTCTATTTCTGTAACTTAGAAAATTCCAGTGGTTGATCTTGCGCTGTTGATCAGCAATAAACATTTTTTCTCAAGATCAGAATTTTCTTTCTAGTTGGGGAACAAGAGAACATAATGGAAGCAAGTAGGAGCAGAGAATGGGAAAGAAATATATATGTGTGTACATACATACATATGTATATGTATATAGTGTTTGGTCTGAGGCTGGATTTGAACTCAGCTCCTCCTGACTTTAGGGCTGGTGCTCTATCCACTGTGCCACCTAGCTGCCTGAAACAACAACATTATAAAAGGGATGGAGTGAGATTTAAGGCTATTGAAAAGGTAGAATAGTGTTGGTCATTGTCCTATGAATAGGAAAAAAGATCTAAAATGTGTGGGCTTCATGGAAAAGTCAAATGATGAAGAAGTATGAATTACTGGACTAATCATTGATGTTCAGGATTTGGGAGTGTTGTAAGAATCCTGTGAGATAATTTTTAAAAAAACTTTGGAGTGCCGTAGAAGAAAAGTAGTTGTTTGCTTTTCTTTGTAGTAGTCCTCTTTTAATCTAGAAGCAAACATGATAAATCTCAAGTATATTCCCATAGAAGAGAAAATCAGGCAGGGAGAACTGGTTTGTAGAATCAGATGCAATGGAAAGTGTATTGTCAGAATATATTAGTTTGAGTCATGGCTCGGATCCTCATTAACTGTGTGTTCATTGGATCAGTTTAGACTTCAGCGGTATATTTGCATGCCTGTCTTTACACAACCTTTCTAACATTCGACTATGCTCAATTTGTGTCATTTTTACCAGTATGTAGGGGTGAATCCAAAGGGTTATTTTAATTTCTTTTGCTATTATTATTAGTGATTTATTGTATGTTTTCAGATAGTCATTTAGAGTCTGATTTTGTTTTTGAAAAATTTCTATTAGGTAATGGCTCTCTATTATGTACTTTTGTCAATTCTCTATATATCTTAAAGATCAGGTTTTATTAATGATATTTGGTGCACATATATTCTCACTGTCCAGTTTTTTTCTACCTTCATTGATTTCATTCATGAAAAAGCTTTTTAATTTTATGTAATTGTAATTATCCATTACTGGGACTATTTTCTGGTAATGAGACATATAAGGAATGTTGTAAACCTCACCTTCCTAGCAGTCTTTTAAAATAAGTACACTTTGACCAGGACTGACAAAATGATTTCTTTGAAAATGACACCAGTTTTAATGACATATTGGGTATTTTGCAGGCCTAACTGCTGATGCTAGAATAGTAATTAATCGAGCCCGTGTGGAGTGCCAAAGTCATAAACTGACCGTGGAGGATCCAGTCACAGTAGAATATATAACACGTTTCATAGCAACATTGAAGCAGGTAAGCACTTTGTCTTTTAGGGTTTACAAAGTTCTTCACAAATATCTCATTTGATCCTCACAACATCACTTCATTATACAAATGAAGAAACTGAGGCCCACAGATTAAGTGACCTGCCCAGGGTTCCAAAGCTCGGAAGTATCTGAGGCTGTGTTTGAACTCCAGTATGAAACTTATTAGACTTTTCTTCAAACTAGTTAATTCCAGGCCCCATGAAGGTAAGAGTTATCTCTAATTTAACTTTGAATTTACACCTAGAATAGTGCTGTATAGGAACTATTTGATAAAATGATTGATTGCTCAATGGGATTAAACGGAATGTTCTTCCAATATTTTCAAGCTGCCTGTTGGTCAGTACCATCTGGAAGTCAGTATGAACATCTGAATCTAAGCATGTCCAAACTGAAACTCTATTCCCCACCCCTAACTTCCCTATTTTTTATTGAAGTCATAATTTAGTCTTTCCTTTCTCATTCCCCCTTTGATAGTCATTTGCTAGGTCTAGTTGATTCTGCCTTTGCAACATTTCTCTCCATTTAGATGGCCCCTCCTCTTAAGCTCAGGATCTCATCCCTTGTCACCTGTCCTGCTGCATTAGCATCTTTCAGTCTTTCTTTTCTCTGATCTATACTTCACACAACCTCCAAGATAATCTCCCTAAGGCACAGATCTGAACGTGGTTACTCCCCTGGTACTCCCTATTTCCTCTAGTTTGTACAGACTTTTAGCCTGCTTTAGAAAGCCCCAGATAACTGCTGAATTTGGAATCAGAGGAACAGTTTCTAAGCCATTGTGGATCTGTGGATCCTGTGTGGGCAAGTCACATGTCTTAGGCTAAGGCTTGGTTTTCTCATCTATAAAATGAGAGGATTGGTCTAGATGACCTCTAAGGTTCCTTCTGGCTTTAATTCTACTATCCTTTAATCAGGCTCAATTTACTCCCCTTTATGTACTCTACATTCCAGCCAAACTGGAATGCCAGACTGACTTCTTGTTCTCCAAACTTGGCATTTCACATCCTATTTCCATACTTTTTGCACAGGCTACTTCAAACTGTATACTAAAGACACATCTCCAACTCAATTTGTACAAAACCAGACTCATTACCTTTCCATTTTTTTTTTTGAAGGCAGCACCATCCTCTTCTAGACTTTTGTGTTTTTAGTCTTGGCATTACCTTCATCCCATATTTCCAGTCACTTGCTACATCTTGGCATTTCTGTCTTCAAGACGTCTGTCATATCTGCCTCGTCCTGTCTACTTCTGTACTATCACTTTATATAGGGCACCGTCACTTCTTACCTTATAATTGATGCCCCTGAATTAAGTCTCAGCCCACTCCAAACCCTCCTACACTACTTTAACAGGATTGTCCTCAAGTACAAATCTGTCTCTGTCGCTTTTGTTCAATAAACTGTAATGGCTCACGATTGCCTGTAATATAAAATAGAAACTCCTTTGTTGAGCTTTTAAAGCCCTTTACAATCTTGTCCCAACCTTTTTTTCTGTCCTCCTTGGCGATTTCTCCCTGCCCCAAGGCACTCTGTGATCCAGCCAGATTGGCCTTCTGTCTGTCCCTCATGCACAGTACTCCATCTATCATCTCTGTGCTTGGCACTAGCCGTCCTCCATACTGGGAAACACTCCCTCTTCTCATAGACTTTGTCCCCTGTTCCTTAAAGACATAGATCAAGCACTGCCTTCTGGTCAGTTAGCAGATGTTAGAGGCAGTACTTGGACCCAGGTCTTTCTTGACTCTAAGATAGACCTTCTATCCATTAGGTATAGGCATTCAATAGTCCTGGATGTCCACTATTTCCATCTGAGCGCAATCCATGTCTAAACCTGCTTAGCTTCAGAAATTGGACAAGATCAAGTTTGTTCAGAGTAGTAAGACTGTGGACAGTTGATAGAAATATGTTATTGTTCATTCGGTTTACTCGTGACCAACGCTTCGTGACTCTATTTGGGGTTTTTTTAGCAAAGATACTGGAGTGGTTTGCCATTTTCTTCTCCAGTGGTTTCATTTTGTCAGGCAATCAGAGGTTAAGTGACTTGCCCAGTGTCACGTGACACAGCTAGGAAGTGTCTAAGGCTGGATTTGAACTCCGGTCTTCCTGATTGCAGGCCCAGTGTCCTATCCACTGAGCCACCAGCTGCCTCTTGATAGAAACGTAGAGGTTTATTAAATAGAAGGAGGTAGTGGTTGCTTCTCTTTTTATAATTTGTATTTACTGAGTAACAACTCAATCTTGTAGACTTTTTAAAAACCGGCATCTAATTAAATTTCATTCCTTCTCACCTTTACAGCATTGTTGTAATGATATAGTGCATTATTACTTTTGAAATCAAGTCCCATGAAGTCATACTAAGTTTTTAGAAAGGAGATAAGAAACTTTTTTGGGGGGCAGTTGGCATTATCATTTGGGAAATGAATTAAAACAAGTCATGTTTATAAAGCTATTACTTTGTACATGGAGATATGCCACATATGAGACAGAAAGGAAGATGGAGAAAATAAAGATTTATCCCTTGCCTTTCAGAAATTTACGATCTGTATGTAACCTTAGGCAAATCAGTTAAACTCTTTGGACCTCGGTTTGCTCATCTGCAAAACGAGGGGGTTGAGCTAGATGTCGCCTGAGGTCCTTGCTAGCTCTAAAATACATGGTCATGTATTATTAATAGACTCTTAAGTGTTGAAGGAATTCCCAATAAGGGATGAGTCATTATGGTGTGGGGGAGTCAGAGAAGGTTTAGTTAGGAAGGTGGCAGAAGTCTTAGAGCCATGTGTATGACAAAGAAAAAATGGGGTGACTATATGCCTAGACTTGAAGGTGCAGGATAGGAGTTTATTTTAAAACATGTAAGAGGAGCATTGGCACATAGAGAATTCACTTTGTTAGGAGTATTTGGGCTAAGGAGATTTCACTACAAGTGTGTACTAGATGTGGCTTGTACTGAGCTCAGTATTCAGTTTTCAGTGTGAGCATTTTACACCTCAAAATTCAGCAAACAATACAAATCAGGGCTTGATTCATTGCTTATTATTTATTGTTAGAGGCAGCTGGGTGGTACAATGGAGAGAAAGGTAGGCCTGTAGTCAGGAAGACCCGAGTTCAAAACCAGCCTTAGATACTTAATAACTGTGTGATCTTGGGCAAGTCACATAATGGCTATTTTGCCTCAGTTTCCTCAACTGTAAAATGGGGATAATAATGGTACCTACCTTCTGGGGTTATTGGGAGAATCCAGTAAGGTATATTTTTAAATCCAGTAAGGTATATTTTTGTTTAGCACAGTGCCTGGCACATAGAAGGCACCATGTAAATGCTAGCTGCTATTATCCTTGATTTCTAGAGTTAGGAAAGTGAGAATGGAGAAAGTGAAATGGAGAAAACATTAAGAATGCAGATTAAAAGTATGTCATAACCTTTTATTATGCAGAGCTGGCTGTTAAAACATCAGCACATCTCTGCTTAGCTACCATTGAGAATGTGATTAGCCATTGAAAATAAAGCTGCTTAATTTTTATATACAGCCAGAAAATTGCCTTCTGTTAACAGTAGCTGACCAGAACTAATAATTACAAAAACTTTTCACCTCCAGAGATACACACAAAGCAACGGATGCAGACCTTTTGGCATTTCTGCTTTAATTGTGGGTTTTGATGATGATGGGATCCCAAGGTTATACCAGACCGACCCATCTGGTACTTACCATGCTTGGAAGGTATGCATTACTCTCTTTTATTTAGAAGTAGAGGGAATTCATTCCTCTAAAGTGTTTGCACATTATCACTTCAGGATGCACAACAAAGCTCTCTGTCATGTCAGAAATACAAGTCGTGACATGAATGCTTCCAGCCTGCTTCAGAAGAAATGCCTACTATTCACTGTCACACTGTGTACAGATGGCTAGGGAAGTCTCTTGATTTAATATAAACATGGTGGTTTCCTTTCTTTGGATAAAGGGGAGCAAAGTTTATGAATGAAAAAAATAATTCTGAAATTACTAAATGTAGAACTTACTCTTTATAGAGAGGCAAATTGGTTTAAAGAGGAGAATGTTGGACTCGAATCAAGAGACTTGAGTTCAGTTCTCTGTTGTACTAGCTGTGTGATAGTGGTCAAGTTAACCCACTCTGTCCTTTAGCCATGAAATGGGGTCGAAGAATAATCCTATCTGCCTCACAGCGTGGTTGTGATGAGTGCTCTTTATAAACCTAAAAGTACCATGTAAGCATTAAGATGATGTTACTACAAGTCAGAAATGGTGTTTTAGATGCTTGAGGTTGTCGTACTTTCAAAAGTGATTTATTATAAATATTGGAATTATTAAAAATCAATTACACTTACTTGCAGCTGTTAATAATTTAATGAAATTCATTTCCATAAAATGGCACAGCAGTTTGTATGTCGGTCACCCCATCAGCTTACCCTGATGCCCACCTCACTGCCCGCCCCTTGAGGCTCTGACATCTGACATAGTGGCTTCCGGTGAGGACAGCCTGGATTCAAGGCCAGACTCTGTGAACCCTGTACAAGTTACTTAGCTCCTTAGTTTCTCTCCCCGCCCCACCCTCTGGGACAGCTTTGTAGGACAGTAAATTGTAGCACAGGTGTTGCTCTGCTTTATCAGAGGCATATACTTAACTAGGAGCATCACATACAGAGACAATCATAGGTCCAATCCGAAAGTAAGTCTTTATCCGCAATTTTTGTCCATTTATTCCAATTCGTTTTTCCTCCCACACGGTTGTAATATGTGTGGTGTCTTCAAGTAGGTAGAGAAGTCAGACAGAGACAGGGATTTAGGGGAGAACTCAGTGAATTTGACTTTGAGCATGTTCAGTTTGAGATGCCTGTGGTGACATCTATGGGGAAATGTCCAGCAGGCTATTTATTAGAGATGTAGGACTGCAGCTGAGAGAGATGAGGGCTGAATATGTAAATGAGAGAATTGCCTGCCTAGAGGTGACAGTTAACCTAGTGTGAGGTGTTGAGATTATTGAAAAAGATGATGAAGGGGGCCCAACTGGGGTAGAGGCCTGGCTGGGGTCTATTCACACACAGGGAGTGTATGGATGAGGATTTTGATGGCTCCAGCAAAGCTGAGGAGGAAGGATAGATCAGTCAGGGTTAAAAAAGAACCATGATAAAGTGGTATCATGAAAACATAAGTAGGAGAGTATTTTGTGGGGGGGAGCAGATTCAGTAATTCTTTTTTTAATTTTAGACTTAAATATATAATAAGAAAAGAAAAACGTAAATATTAAAACAAGAAAATTTTTTAAAAGCATGTCATGTGGCAGCAGAATGTAAGAGAGAATTCAAAATATATAGCAATAAATTTCCATTTCAAGAAAGTCTATATATATAATAAATACTACACATTCTGTTGAGAGCTGTCCATCTTTTCTTTACTTCTTTGTGAGTTTTCTTTTGTTCTCTGCTGGGCACTTTTTATTTTGTTCTTTTTTTCCCCTTACCCCTCCCCAGGCTACAATTAGGTGTGGATATATTTATATATACACACATATATACACATAAAGACATATACATGTACATATATAGACATATACTTTCCCTAAGAAGTTCTACTCCTGATCTTTGTGTTTGTTTGTTCATATCTCTTATTTCCTGTCTCTCCTGACTCATCTACTTCTACCCACTACCTTGCCCTCCTATTTGATCTACCTCCCCCACAAGGATCCCTGCTTTATTCCTTCCATTCACATAATTCTAAACATCTTATATCCCCTTTTGAGCTATTCCCTCACTCTCCCCTCTAAAGATCCCTCCCTTATCCTCTTCCCCCCCAATCCCCTTAGCATTTTATTTTTTTCTGAATTTAGAAGATTTCTGTATTCTTCTAGATATATATGTATTATTTCCTCTTGAAACCATTCCCAATGAAACTAGGTTTCCAGAACTAACCGCCCTCCCTCCCCTTCTAATTCTTTTGTGTTGGTTCTTCCTCTTGCACTTTTGTATATAATAATTTGTATACATTTGTATACGATAATTACTCTTTTTAGCTGTTCCCAAATGGTTTAGTTTTTAAAGTCATATCATATTCAGGTCTACCCCAATCTTTCTTAAGAACTACCTAATTACTAATAACAATCTTACACATACGTTTTATAATTTATATACATAAAAGGTAAACATTTTGTCTTTACTGAGTCCCTTATAATTGGTCATTGGTATGTACCTTATATTTCTCCTGGCTCTTGTATGTCAAACCTTGTATTAAGTTTGGTGTTACTTGTTTTTTTTTTGTTTTTTTTTTTTTAAACCGAATTCCCAAAGTCTGACAATTCATTAAATGTCCATTTTTTTTTAAAAAAAAATCAAGATTATGCTTAGCTTTGCTGGGTGTGATATTTTTGGCCAGAAGCCCGGTTTTTTTGCTCTTTGATATATAGTGTTCCAAGACATGTGACCTTTTAGAGTGTTGCTGCTGCTAGGTCTTGTGTGATGATAATCGTGGCACCACCATATTTAATTTGTTTTTTTCTTGTTGCTTAGGATATTTTATACTTGAGCTGGGGGTTTTAGAATTTGACTATAATATTCTTACAAGTTTTCCTCATTAGGATCTCTTTCAGATAATGATGAGTGGATTTTTTTTTCTATTTCTGCTTTCCCCTCTTGTTCAGGACAATGCTTCAGGACAATTTTCTGTAATTATTTCTTGCATTATTGTATCAAGATTCTTTTTTTGATCATAGCTTTCGGGTAGTTCGATTATTCTTATGTTTTCTCTTTTCGATCTGTTCTCCAGATCAGTTGTTTTTCTTATGGGATGTTTCACATTCTCTTCTATTTTTATTATATTTTTATACTTACTATGTATTATTAAATATTAAATATTTATTATTTCTTGATCTTTGCTGGCTTCCCCTTGCCCAATTCTGATTTTCAAGGAGTCATTTCCATCCTTAAGATTCAGTAATTCACAGGCAGCCAGGTGGCGCAGTGGATAGAGCACCGGCCCTGGAGTCTGGAGAACCTGAGTTCAAATCCGGTCTCAGATCAGATACTTGATGTTTACTAACTGTGTGACCCTGAGCAAGTCATTTAACCCCAATTGCCTCACCAAAAGAAAAAAAAGCTAGAAAAAAGTTAATTATCTTTATATAATTTCTCTTTTTGAATAATTTGTTCTGCTTCTGCTTATTTCACTTTGCATCAATTCATACAAGTCTTCCCAGGTTTCTCTGAAATCATTCCCTTCACCATTTATTATACCACAATATTTTTTCATCACATTCATGGGCATCCTCTCAGTTTCTAATTCTTCACCATCACAAAAAGAGGTGCTATGAATATTTTCATTCATTTGAATCTTTTTCCTCATTCTTTGATCTCCTTGAGGTATGGATCTAGTGTGACTGTATTACTGGGCCAGAAGGCATGCACAGTTTAATAGCTTTTTGGGCATAGTTCCAAATTGCTTTCCAGAATGGTTGGACAAGTTCACAGCTCCACCAACAGTGCATTAGTGTGCCTATTTTCCCGTATCCCTTCTAGCATTTGCCTTTTTCACCATCTTAGCCAATCTTACGGGTGTGAGGTAATACATCAGAGTGGCTTTAATTTGCGTTTTTCTAATTATTAGGGAGTTATTTTTCTTACAATTATTGACAGCTTTTGTTTCTTCCTCTGAAAACTGCCTGGATCTTCTTTCATGTGGTGATTAATAGTTCATAATTCTTTTGTGAATTATTTGTTCATAGTTTTTGTTTAATCAGAGAGAGGATTAGTGAAATGTAAATTATTAAGTGAAACTTTCGTTAGTCTTATAAGTCTAAAATTCCAAGTTTATTCTGGAGGAACAAGTGCTATATACAAAACTCTCAGGGCTGCCTAGATTCAATAATTGGAAAACAAATGGATTTGTATTGCATTGATACTTGTAATTATCTTTTCTTTTTCAGGCAAATGCAATAGGCCGTAGTGCTAAGACTGTTCGTGAATTTCTGGAAAAAAATTACACAGAAGATACTATAGCAACTGACAGCGAAGCCATCAAATTAGCAATAAGAGCACTGCTAGAAGTAAGTCATCCAGTACAGTGCTTGGTTACAACAAATGGCCTTCAGAAGAGCTTGTTTCCCTCTCCCTGCCTTATTGGTTTATTAAAATATAAAGTGCTTTGTGGAAACGCTCCTAATACTGTGCTTTTATCACTCTAGGTTGTACAGTCTGGTGGAAAAAACATTGAACTTGCTATTATAAGAAGAAACCAGCCATTGAAGGTAGAAGTGATTGATTTAAAAAGGAATTTTTTTTAAAAAGTGTCTGAACTATAAATCTTCTGACAGAAATAGTCCTCCTTGACACCTGTGAATCTCAATTAAATCCACAAATGTCCCCTAACATCTGGTGATCCCTTATGACATAACTCCTGTTTTCTCTTCCCAACTCATGGCTTTCAGCATTACTACTCAGTCATAATGCACTCAGTTGTAAACAAGCTATGTATGTGCATCATTATTATGTGCTGTTAAGAGCCTGAAAAGAATAATAGAGGAAATGTGTTTGAAGATATATTTTTTTAAATCAGATCATAGGGAAGACCCCACTTTTTCTAGGTAAGACTATTGGCATATAGTTCTGGGGAACTATATAAACAGTGCCCGGCACATAGTAGATGCTTAATAAATGCTAATTGATTAGACATAAGAATTCCTGGCAATTATTACATGGTTTTGCCGTACCTACTTGGGGAAGTTTTGTTGGTAGCAAACCCTGTGATGCTAAGCAGGTTGGGTGACTTAGTGGATAAAGCACTGGTTCTGGAGTAAGCAAGAAATGAATTCATAACTGCCCTCAGACACCTATTAGCTGTGTGATCTTGGGTAAATCACTTAACCTCCATCTGCCTCAGTTTCTTCATCTGCAAAAATGGAGATAATAGCACCTACCTCTGAGGTTATTGTAAGGATAAAATGACATTTGTTTTAAAGCACTTTGCAAACCTTTAAAGCACCATATTTGTATTTTTGGTTGATGTAAGATATTCCTACTTTAACTTATCTGTCCAAGCTTGCTCTGTGTCATTGTGCACTCTTCAGAAGATGAAAATAAACACTTATGATACTTTAAACTAAAATTTGCTTTTATCTTTGGGGAAAGCAGAAGCCAAGGCATGGAAGGGTTGCAGTCGGGGAGACCCTTTACAGGAGCCAACTTGGGCTGGATCATAGAGTATCCATAGTATATGAAACAAGACTAGTAAGACAAAATTTTAATTGCCATGTTAACTAGTGGTGCATGCCAAAAAGACTTAGAAGAACAGTACCAGGTATCAAGTAGTAGAATAAGCTTGAATTTTATGTAAACTTAGAACCTGTGAAAATAATAAAGTAATCATAGCCAACATTTACATACTCTTAAAAGTTTGCTCTTCAAAACACTTTACAGATTATGACATTAGGACAGTGTTACATTCCTTTGCTGATAATGTTATGGTGCAGTCATTTCAGTCATGCCCAACTCTTTGTGACCCCAGTTGGGGTTTTCCTGACAAAGATGTTGGAGTGGGGGGCTGTTTCCTTCTCCCAGCTCATTTTACAGATGAGGAAACTTAGGTAAATAGGGGTTAAGTGACTTGCCCAGGATCACACAGCAAGTAAGCATCTGAGGCTAGATTTGAACTTGGGAAGATGAGTCTGACATTCTATACCACCTGGCTTTCCCTTGCTGATAATTACCCTACCCTTTAAAAGCAGTGCTCAATTTGTAAAACTTCTACTAAAAACAGACATTCCCTCCCCTCAGTTAGATCTCGTCTGTTAAACTTCAAATTTGCCTTACTTTTCTGTGAGTCTCCTCCTACAATTTATTGTGAAATTGAAGGTAGGTACTTAAGATTTAGAGCTTGAAGAATCATGGGATCCTAGATTTAGAGCTTTAGACCTTAGAGGTCATCTGGTTCAACCCATTCATTTTAGAGTCAGGGAAGCCAAGACCCAGAGGGATTCATGACTAACCTTAAATCACACAGCTAGTGAGTATCCAAGCCAGGGTTTGAACCCAAGTTTTCTGACAACAGGTCCAGAGTTGTTTCCATTATGCCCCGTGGCAAAAGATTACAAGGTTGTTTGCTTCCAAAATTTGATGTCATTGAAGAGTAGAAAATTTACCTATGTATTTATCTGAATATTTATCTTTTCGCTTCTTTTGAAGCTTTAGTCTCAAAACATAAAATCCAAAGCCATTGTAACAGATTCTTAAATTAGTTTTCATGTTACTATAGAAATTAAAAGAGGATAGCAAAGAGAAGATCTGGAATGAGAGGTTTCAAGTGAGCCTACATATTCATAATCCCCTAAAATAATTAATAGCAGAAACCTTCCAAAGAAGCAAGACTTCTTGAAATCGTTTTAAGAAAATTAAAGAGTAGGGAAAAATGGTGGTAAAAGAAAGTTTTTGTTGTTGTTGTTCGTTCGAGTTGTGTATGACTCCTCGTGACCCCATTGAGGGTTTTCTTGGCGAAGCTACTAGTGGAGTGGTTTGCCATTTCCTGCTTCTGCTCACTTTACTGATGAGGACATGGACAAAAAGGGTTAAATGACTTGCCGAGTGTCACACAACTAGTAAGTGTCAGGAGGATGGATTTGAACTCGGGTCTTGCTGACTGTGGGCAGCTAGGTGGCTCAGGCAAGGCACTTGACCTCTGTTTGCCCTAATCTACTGGAGAGGGAAATGGCAAACCACGGCAGTATCTTTGCCAAGAACAAGTCCATGGGGTCATGAAGAGTTGGACACGACTGGACAACAACAATAATCAATCTTGGTTGAGAAAATAGATGATAAAACATAATGTCCTCCTCAGCTCCTGGAGTGCAAGGGCTGTCCAACCTTTAGTGTTTGTATTGTATGGTATACCCAAAAGCTATCATGGGGGATGCAATATAGTATAGTAAGTGTTTTGTAAGTAAAAGTCTGTTTATTGATTAGTAGAATAAACAATATTTGAGGCAGCTAGGTAGCGCAGTGGATAGAGCACTGGCCTTGGAGTCAGGAGGGCCTGAGATCAAATCCGGCCTCAGGTACATAATACTTCCTAGCTGTGTGACTTTGGGCAGGTCACTTAACCCCAGGTGCCTCACTTTAAAAAAAAAAAACAAAACAATATTTGGCCATTGATTGGCTTATAAGAGGTTGAGAGGGGAGGGAAGAGTCAAGGATGATGTCAGATTACAAACTTAGGTGACTTGGAGAGGTTGTCAGTACCCTTAACAGAAATAGATGTTTAGAAAAGAATTGTTTATAGAACTGTAAGTTTAATAAATTCTGTTTTGTACATGTTGAGTTTGAGATGCTTATAGAACATACATATGAAAAAGTCCACCGAGCACTTAACCTGTGCAGGACTGAAGATAAGTAGAAAGGTTACACTTGGATATGCATAGATTGGGAAATCATTTGCATAGTAATGATATGTGAACCAATGGGAAGAGAAATAAAGTCTCCTTTTCTCTAGGGAAGAGGACAGAAGTAATTTTTTTTAATCTTCTATCCCATTTATTTTTGTGTTTATCTCCATATTTATTTTTATTCTGTGTTAATTTATTTACTGAGAAAATAGATGAAAAATACTATGCCGCTCAAATAATGAAGAAAAAAGAGAAATCATATGATTTATCCTGTAATAAAACAGGTTGTGAGTGGTAATAGTACAATACATCTAAAGCAGTTTAACAGAAAGGCTTTTGAAATTTAAAATTGATTTTCTTTTGGGTTTTCAATTTTTTTTTTAATTTTGGAGGCAGTTGGGGTTAAATGACTTGCCCAGGGTGACACAGTTAGTGAGGTCGGATTTTAATTCAGGTCCTCTTGACTCCAGGGCCAGTGCTGTACCCACTGCACCACTTAGCTGTCCCCAAATTGATAATATTTTAGAATAATAGAGTTCAAATGCATTTCTATAGACCTTTAGGTATAATTGACAGAACTGAAAATTATTTTGTCTTTCGTTTGCTATTTTCCTATTGTTATCATCAAAGAGTAGATCATTAACCTGTGTATCTGAATATTTATTTCACAATTAATCTAAAGCCAGTGTGACAGATTTTTAAATTAAATTAAATCTGTATTTCATTTCAGATGTTTAGTGCCAAAGAAATTGAATCTCAGGTTGTGGATATAGAAAAGGAAAAGGAAGAAGCAGAGAAGAAAAAGTCAAAGAAGTTGATCTAATGCTGTGTTCTTGTACCACTTGAAAAATTGATACCATTCAGCAATTTACTAAAATTTTATGGAAAATAAATTACCTACTGTGTTTGCATTGTTGAGTACAGTTTCTTGTCTGAGTTTTTGGGACCCAATTTGTAGCTTTTTTCAATCTGCTATACAGAATTTTCAGAAAGATAATCCCAATAATAGTTGAAAGCCATGGGATTTTAACCTATACTTGTGGTTATATTCCACTCAGATTCTGAGACTTGCCAGATGGGATTTTCTTTAAGCAAATGTTTGATAAAGCAATTTGAATTTATAGACACACACACACACAAAAATTTGTTTGAAATTAAACATTCAATGAAGTATAAATTTACTGTCAGTTACATATGTTTCTCTAATGCATATTGTCCTGTCTTCCAAAGTAACCTTTATGTGAAATTATGTTGAGTAGCAATTTTCTGAGTTGTTAAAAATTGTAGATCATAGTTTTAGAGTCAAGTCATGTCAGCAAGCATTTATTAAGTTCTTAGTATTTGCTCGACTCTGACTAAGCTTTGTTAGAGCTGGAAGGAAACTTAAGGACCTTTCAAGACCACAGACAGATCCTTTGACTCTAGGAATTCTTGAAATACAGCTGTGTCAAAATCAAATAGAAATGAGACCACTAAACTTTATTTAGGGATCCCTGTGGGTGCGTGTTGATTTTAGAAAACCACCTATTAACATTATCTTCAACTTTAATTTTCATTTATTTTGTTAAATATTTCCCAATTATATTTTAATCTGGTTGAGGGCACTCAGGAGTGCAGGGGTCTATTGCAGGCCATGTTTGACACCTGTTTTAATAGATGTCACCTCTCCCCCATCATTAAACATTATGTTTTCTTCATCCCCCCCTTTAGATTTATCATCTCCAACATGTTATGTATTAGGTACTTACAGCAGGGGTAAATGTTACGTGACCATCACTTGTTAATTCAGCAGTCACTCTGTGTTGAATACTGTGATGGGCATTATGGGAGTACAAGAGAAATAACAGGATGTGGTCCCTACCTTCACATTTAAAAGATGTAACTAACCACTGGCTTCAAAGAGACGTGGTGTAAATAACAATGAAGGACTGAAACAAAAATGTTTCACCTAAAGCCTTGCTTTGATGCTAATGACATTTTGCTGGGAGGTAGGGATGGTAGTATCCTTTTTGGGAGGAGGATATGATCAAGTGAGGGTGGAGAAGAGAATTTTAAAGGATCTGTTGTGAGCAAGTAATGATCATCCAAGGATCTGTGCCATTTAAGGGTGGGAGGATCGTAGAGGATGTGGAAAAGTTTAGGGAAAAGCAACCATTTTGAAAAAGTTCCACCTATAACTTTAATGTTTTTTGGTTCCTGAGGCCATTGAGTCAGAGGTCTAGTGGATAGAATGTTGGACTTAAGATCAGGAAGCCCTGAGATCTAATTCTGCCTCGGACACCTGTGTGATCTTGGGCAAGTCACTTAACCCCTATTGACCATGGTTCTCATCTATAAAATAAAGGGATTATGTCTCTTTTAGCATAAAATCTGTGGTGGTCTAGATTTTTCCTCCCAAGGTTGACCCTTTGCCCTACTTTCATTCTCTTCTAACTCATGAGCATTTTAGAATGTCAGCATTCTAGAGTTGAAAGGATGCGGTACTGTGAGAGATAGAATCTTGAGTTTAGGTTTTGCTGAACCATGTTCTGCTTTCTTCTGGGGAGCTGATAGGAGACTTATAATTTGGCCCGGTTCTGTTCTGCACCTATTTGTAAGTCTTTGCTCAATGCTAACTGTAGGCTTTAGCTACTTAGCCCCCTTGACCTTGTCCAGGAGTTTGTTGAATTTAGTGATTTGCCAAGTCAGGTTCTTTTTTGCTTCTCACTTTGCTGTTGCCATTGTAATTGGACGTCCACTGTAATTACTGTATAAATCCTTCTGAGCCATCTTGGCTTTATTGATGGATTTCATTTTGGCATATTAGTCAGTTTCCCTGTACCCCATAAGAGCCTTTCCATAAAAATGTTAGGCAAAATTGTTTTAATAGAGTAATTGCAACTGAAGATTCACGTCATTTCATGTTACTGATTGCTAATAGTAATGATAATATGCTTTAACTGAAATAATTTGGCACTAACATAATACATGAATCTGTTGCTGTTCGGGGCTCCCTCAATTTGCATTATGGTAGTTTATATTATTTTGGTTCTACTTCCTTCACTCTTATCTCAGTTCAGTATTCCCCGTGTTTCTCCACAGTCATCATATTCTTTCTAATGGTGGAATAATAATCCATTACGTTGTTATGCCCCGATTTGTTCAGTCATTCCTAGATAGCTACAAAACTTATATTCCAACTCTTCGCTATTATAAGTAGTGTTGCTAATTTGGAGTTAGGTAGAGATTACAATGTCCATAACCTTTGACATGGAGATTTCACCATGAGGCAAATACCCCAAGGAGAGGTCCCTGACAAAAAGAAAAGTCCTATGTAATAGTAATAATAGCTAGCATTCATATAGCATTTACCGTGTGCTGTGCACTGTGCCAAGTGTTTTACAAACATCTCGGTTGATTATCATAGTAACCCAGTGAGGTAGGTATTGTTATCCCAATTTTAGGAAACTGAAGCAAATCGAAGCTAAATGACTTGTCCAAGGTCATACAGCTAGGAAGTGTCTAAGGCCACATTTGAACTTGGGTCTTCCTGATTTCATAACTGGCACCTCTATCCACTGCACCACCTGCCTCCAGTTTTGGCACTTAATAGCAGCAAAGAACTGGAAACAGTAGGGGAGAAAAATAAAAGGTGTCCCCAAAAAATTGTAGTATGTAAATACAATGGAATGTTATGGTGCTGTAAGAAACCACAAATGTGATGAATACATAGCATTATGACCCCTTATTGAGCTGCTAATTGCTGCCTCTGACAGGTAATGTCTGTGATCCTGGGAAAGAAACTTCATTTCTTGGTGGCCCAGGCCACAATCCAAGATGATGAGTTGCAGAACTGTTGAGCTACAGGGGTAGGTAGAGTTTCCTCAGTGGGCATTCCTTACAGGTTCTGACAACAGCTTACAACAAACAAAACATTGGGGGCAGTTAGTGTGTACAGTGGATAAAACACGAATCCTAAGAGTCAAGAAGACCCAAGTTCAAATACAGCTTCAGATACTAGCTGTGACTTTGGGCAAGTCACTTAATCTTGTCTTCTGTTTTCTCATTTGTAAAATGAAGATAATAGTACCTGCTTGTGAGGGACAAATGAATTATTTGTAAATTACTTAGCGTAGCGTCTTGCATGTAATAAGCACTACATAAATGTTAGATGTTACTCTTCGTGAAAAGATTTATGTAAACTGATGCAAAGTACATAACAATGTTCTAACAATACCAGGAAAACAATTTTTAACGATGTAAATGTAAAGAAAAGCAACCTCAGCAAAGCAATAGAAACTCAATAGTGCAAAATTTAATGACTGAGGTTGGCCCCAAAGAAATCATCTCACCTTGCTTCTTTGCAGAAGTGAGGGACCATGGGTGTGAGACAATGCATAGAACATGACTTTTTCAACATGTAGTTTTGGTGCACTTTTTTATCTATTATAAAGGATGATTCTATGGGAAAGGCTAAAGGGATGGATAGAGTAAGAAATATAGGTGATATATAAACAAAAGATACTAATACAAATTTATCTTTAAAAGCAGTGCTGCTATAAATATGTTGGTACATAGAAGACTTTTCTTTCTGCTGTTAATTTCTTTAGGATATAAAACCAGTAGTGGGAACAATGATAAGTTATGAACAACTTAACTAACTTTTCTCTCACAAGTCAATCCACATTGTTTTCCGGATTGGTGTGACAAGTTAACGTCTCCTGCAAGGAATTAATATACCTTTCTTCCCTCTACCCCTCCAGTTATTCCATCTTTGCCAGTCTGACAATTGAGTTATGAGGAAAGGCTTAGCAGATTGGGGAGGTGGTTGTTATTCAGTCATTTCAACTGTGTCCAGTTCTTTGTGACCACTTTTGGGGTCATTTAGGCAAAGATGCTGAAGTGGTTTGCCATTTCCTTAAGCTCATTTTACAGATGAGGAAACTGAGGCAATCAGGGTTAAGTGACTTGCCCAGGTTCACACAGCTAGTAAGTGTCTGAAGTTATATTTGAACTCTGGTCTTCCCAACTCCAGGCCCAACACTCTAGCCACTGTGCCACTTAGGTGCCCAGATTGGGGAGTAGGAAGGGCATATTCAGAAATGTGTAATGTAAAAGATACCCATGAAACTTTTTAAATGTTAATTATAATAAAGATTTTTGATAAGAAATAAGAGGTTAAACAAAAGAATATAGAAGATCTTTTAGAACCTGGGTCTTCAAAGAATCAAAAGTTCAGGAGACCTAAAACAGGCAACAACATTTTTTGTGAGTGAAAGGGTGTGAGGGTGTGTGTGTGTGTGTGTGTGTGTGTGTGTGTGTGTGTGTGTGTGTAAAAGTTTGGGTCTTCTAGTACCAGAAGGGGAAATGACATCCAGTGGAGCTAGATTGGGGCCAGGTTGTGAGGGACTTTAAAAGCTAAATAGAGGACTTTCTTTTTGATCCTGGAGGCAACAGGGAACCACTGGTATTGGTTGAATAGGGTCACCTGGTCACATCTGTGCTTAAGGAAAATTACTTGGCCATTAGTTTGTACTGGCAACCGGACCAAACCTGTGGATGGCCGGAGCACAGAGTAGGCTACAGGCAGGAGAGACGGGAATCAAACAGAAGTTTAATTTCAAAGTGAGAGAAACGGCTTGCAAGAAAGGAGGGGATCTAGACACATGTGCCAGGACCCCACCCCTGAGACATACGGGTGGGGAGATCTCAATACTTATTCCAATGGCTACACAGTGAGCTGTAGCTCTGACAATGACGGATAACTGCCACGATGAGACAAGTTTGATTCACAAAGGGGCTTTGTGACTAGAACATGGTTACTTGTCCGGTGCTTGTCAGAGCGCAGAGAACATCTGGTGCTGGTTAAAGCAATACAATAATTATGTGATTTTGCCAGAGAGTGAGATCATTCATAGGGCGAGTGCAAAGCATTGTTG